ATGTATTGGGTAGTAGGCATAGATTTGGCTTATAATTAACTTTTTATTCATGTATTATAGCATAATATGAGACCCATTGCTTTTAACTTCATTTAAAGGAAGTCTTAATTCTTCAAATGGAAGCTATACCATTATAAGCAATCATTTTATAATTATTGTAGATTTATTAATCTTTTTTACCTGGCCATTTCGTAACTATTAGGTGGGTATCAATTTGCCTATCACTAGTTTTTCATTATAAAATTAAGGGGAATAGCAGGTTACTCAACGGATGTTAAATTTTCATTATTCTCATGCAAAATATTTTGAGTTTATATTAGACAACAATAAACATACAGCTGAAACATTTATTAAAATTTACTTTCCAGAGGCAGGGATGGATGATACATAATGATTAAGGGAACAATACATAAGGAAACATAATACTCTTCAATTTATACACATCAAATGAAGGAACATAATGTATCAGGTAATTACTATCAAACGTGAATACAGACACCGGGAAAAACACATTAGTGGCTGGAGACTTCACTTTTACCAATGGAAGACTCAGCCACACGGTAAATAAGGACACAATAACCTTAAACAAAGACTTACACTGCATAGGAAGGGCAGGGTGGGCAGCACAGGACACCAGACCAGACAGCAATGGAGGCAGCAACACCGGGAGGTGGTACCAGGAGGTCAGGAGCTGTTAACAGCCCTCAGAGGTGACCTGGACACAGAGTGCTGGTCACTCTCAACAATAGGTCACCACTGGTCACTAGGAGGCAGCAGTGTCAGAAACACCATCTTAACATCTCTTTGTAAGTTGTTGGCCCATCGCAACAACAAACAGCTCTTTAGGACACCGGGCCGGGCCTTTGGAGTTCTTTCAGGTAATGTCAGAGACAGGCTAGAGGCAGGTGCCGCCCGCCCAGCTGCTGGGAAGCTCTTTGGGTCCTCTGCAAGGCTTTCAGCATCGCTTCTTTCTGAGGTCAGCTGCTTGTTCTTCTTTCTTCTTCAGAGATTAGGGACAGAATCCTTCTGTGAGAGTCCGAGTGTCTGAGCATCCCAACCTATCTTCTGCACTGCCTTATATTCTCTTCCCGGGTTCTCCACCCCTCCTCCAAATCTGATTGGAGTGTTTTCAATTTTATGGCTGATTGAACCATTCCGCAATCAGCTCATAGCACACACCTTATGGTTCCATGCTATGATCCAGGCATGGGCCTCTCTACTCCTGGCAGCTGCAGCCAAGGCATTGGGCCTGGCCCCATGGAGGTCTGTGTTCCTCCCTACAGTCTCCCTGCAGCTGCATGCCCTGGGGCGGTGTGGTAGGGGAACCACTGCCAGCCACCATCACTGCCCACCTCTGCCTGTAGTCTGAGCCCCAGTGGGGCCACTGGTGACTGGTGGTAAAATGCCCACCACCCACAGCCGCTTGCAGTGCCCACAACAGCTTCTGGGGCCAGCCACTGGTCTTGCCCTGCACAAGCTATTAGACTCTGGCTTCAAAAGCACTCTCAGAAAGTGCATAGTTCTAAACCTGACTTCACAGATAGGAAAACTGGGCTTCAGAGTGCTTATGCCACTCACATTTCACCACACGGCTAAGGGTAGAACCATGACATCTGGGTCTGCTTTCCTCTCCCATCAGGGTCAGTCATCATTTAATCCATTTTGAGTTGTTTATTATAGTTCTGCTTTTATGTATATCTGTATATTTATATATCTATCTCACTATATATAAATATATATTCTTACATTGTTAATTTTTGCACAGTATTTGATTTCTACCCTCAGGTGTAGTCCCGAGTTCTTGGGAGTCCTGCTTTTCATTCTAGCTGGAGTGATGCTCCTTCAGCGTGCACACCTGATGCGCTTCCTCAGGCCTCACACCTTTCTTCCCCTCCCCATGCCTGTGGTCTCATCTTTCCAACCTCTTATCATACAAAGCACAAGACCTGTGAATAATTGTTCACTCACCGGTTGAAGCTAACTCTTTGTTGTGTGCAGAATTTGAACACATAGTGTCCATAACCACTGTCATTGTGGATAAAAGAAAATGCCCAATGCCCAGCTGGAGGGAGCTCAGGTCATTAGCTATGGGTTTGTTAATCAAGCCTTGAAAACAGTTTGTGTCTGGAGTTATTTAAGAGCTGTAGATTAGTAATCTAACTAGATTTATTGCCCCTTGATTCCAGAGAACCTAACAATTCCTAGCATTGTGGAGTTGCACAATAAGGTTTGTTGAGTTTCCAACAATTATCGTGATATTCTTGTAGCACAGCTGTCTCTTTGTGACACGTGTGGGTCTAGCCCTCCCTGTACAGAATCTCCTATGAGGAAGGTGCTAGGATATGATAAACCCATTTTACAGATCTAGATACTGAGGCTTATAGTAGTTATGTGACTTTCCAAGTACTTTTGTGGATAATTGAAGAGTTACAATCAGGCTAGAGGTTTAATATTTGGTCTGATGAACAGCGTTAACACGAGCAGATTTCTGTCCTGGTTCTGTAACTATTTCATTCATGATTTTTATTTAGACATGCTTCCTTTCCACCCTCAGTTTTCTCACCTGGGAAATGGGCCACTTGGATTTATTAAACTACATTCAGAGGTGATTGACTAATTTACCTTTAAGACAATTATCACCAGTCATTTACAACACCGTGATTGGGTTTTCAAGAGCAGGTTTATCAAATTGTTATAGGGCAGCCCCGATATTGAACGGGTTCCTGGCTGTGGGTCCTCACCCGCACGCTTAAAAGGGACTTATTAATACTCCACTGCAGGCATACACAAAAGGTTAATACAAGGTTTATTTACAAGGGAAAAGGAAATAAGGAAAATCTACAACTAAGGGAGAAAATAGGGAAATAAAGTCTTTAATGCGTCCTACCTGATCCGCCGAACTGGAAACACAAAAAGCACTCTCAGAGCTGGCCAGACACTGCGAGCTGGCGGAGAGTCAAAATGGGGGATCCCTCCAAAGCCCACATGTCTGGCTTTATACCAACCTGGCTGCTTAACCCCACCCTCAGATCCCAGCCACCTTCCCTTTGGTGGTGATGGGATTTGGAGTTCCCAGTGTCTTTGGCTTTGGCCTGGGGTGGGGGTGGTGTCCACAAAGCCTGTATGGAATTAGCTTTAGGACATCCTTTTCCCCCTAACAGTTTATTATGGAAAACCTCAATGAGAATGATCCCTACTTATCTGCTAGTGCAGCAATTCCAATACTGTGTTTTGTGGTTCATGGCAAATACCTAGTTTATAGTCAAGTAAATGTAGGAAATTGTGGTCTAAAATAGGTTTCTTCCCCTCAAGGCATCTGAGGTGATACCTTTAATGTGCTAATGAATGCGAAACCATCCTAGATCCTGCTTCTGTGGGTGCAGCAAGGGCTATGCTTACCTAAGCAAAGACCATTGGGGACAGGGGTGGGAGGAAGTATGAAGTGGGGGGCGCAGGATACAGATCCATGGACTACACTTCCATGATATTCCAATCTAGATGCTTCACTCCATTTCTGACTCTTTTTTTTTTCTCATTGCATGTACAGTTTTTAATTCTTTTTTCTTAATCATTTCCCTGAATCATAAAAAAGCTTTAAAAATGTGAGTCTCACAGTTATATAACATCCCATTTTATAAATGATGTATTATAATTTACTTAGACAATCTCCTGTGTTGAAATCAGTATTTACATCCAACTCTCTACTTTCACTTTAATTTATTTTTTTATTTTTTTAAATAATAAATTTTATTTTTATATTCCCCATACAATTGCAACCCCCCATTCTGACCCCAATCCCTCCCCTCCCGCCCCCCACCCCCCAAAAAGTGTCTCTGGTTCATAGTTTTTTGTTGATTTTGATTTTCACTTTCTTATAGTTATTCATTTTCCTGGTCCCTTATTTAAGTTTTCTAGATTCCTGCTATGAGTGAGACCATCCGGTATTTTTCTTTTTCTTTTTGGCTTATTTCGCTGAGCATGTGTGAAAGCACTTGTAACTGCAACAGGGTGGTCCCCAAGAAAGGGGGAGCTTCCAAGTTTCTGCCCCACCCAAAGGAGGGTGGAGCTGAGCAGAGAAAGAAGAAGCTGCAGAGGAGACTGAGGAAGGAAGGAAGCAGGATGAGGAGCTAGAAGCAGACCTGAAGGAGGCACATGCAACCGAGAGACACGTGAAGAAACTACACTTGCCTTTTGGTCGTGGACTGGTTAAAACAGATGTGGGTAAGACACTGTGGGGAGGTGACGGCGGGTTTTGTCTTGATTTTGACTTTGCTCTTTTCCCTCCAGACTTGTCTGCTTGTTTCTGATACTTTTCTGTGCGTCCCCACTGGAAGGTGCTTTAGACTTGTGACAGGCTTTGGGGCCTTGCTCTGGGCCAATCCTGCTTGGGTGGACTTTTACCCACGAAGGGATGGGTAACTTTGAATGCTTGATTTAGAAACTATATTCTTTGCCTTTCCTGTATTGTTTCCTAATTGTATTAAAGTTCCTTCCCATTAAAGTCTCATATGTTTTGTGTTGATGTGGCAGATGGCAGAACCTATTTAAAGCAGGCAGGTTTGCCGGGTCTGGGATGCACCTCACCCTGCCCTGTAACATAACCACTGGCACCAGGGCCCAAGCTGGTTCATGTCCGAGCATGGCTGAGGATTTCAGCTGGAAGGAGGTGCAAGAGAACCAGGGAGGGTGTGAGAATCCTGCATATTCTGATGCAGGTGGATACCTGGACACAGCAGAATCCAATCACCACCAAGAAGGAGACTTGACACAGGTGTTTATTATGATTTCATGGGCAAAAATTAAGACTTAAATTTGTTTGCACACACACGCACACACACATACACACACGATTAGGTTAGGTAGGATTGATGGGGAGATCTAAAGTTAGAAATACTGGCAAAACCATCCAATACTGACTTAGAAATATAAAATTTAAAATTCAAACTCTGGTCACCAGATTGGACTCAAATTACGAAACTGTTTGACTTGACCTTTGAAAGCCTTATAAATAGCTCGTCCTTAGAGCTGCCTGCACTGCCGCCTTCTGGGATCTGCTCCCCACAGAATGGGTCTGCTCCTGCCCCTGGTGCTCTGCGCCCTGGCTGTGGGCTCTGGGGCTACATCTCCACCCCAGCAAGTCTTCAACCCTTCGCCTTTACTCTCCCGAGGCTGCAATGATTCAGATGTGCTGTCATTTGCTAATTTTGTCCTGAGGGACATCAACAGGGACCGCAAGGATGGCTATGTGCTGAGCCTCAACCGAGTGAGCGATGTCCGTGAACACAGACAGGCAAGTGATGGTCCCCTACCCGGGCAGGTGCTCGCTGGGCTGGCCAGGGTTGGGGACCAGGGACACATGTTGCCGGTGCTTTCCAAATTGAAAGCTGCTGAGCAGCTCTGCTCTCCTCTGCTGTGTCTGCAATGCTCTCACTGTCACTAGAGACAAAGCTAATCGCTACCCCTGTCTAGTATTGCAGATGTGATGAGAAGTTTTGACAGGCATCTTAGCCTTGACTCTGCTATAAAACAGAGATATCAGTGGCCAGTCTGTAGGAGTTGCTGCTCATGTGGGATGTGGTTCCTTTCTCCACCTCTGCCTACAGGACGGACCAGCAGCTGTGTACTATCTCACCCTAGATGTGTTAGAGACTGACTGCCACGTGCTCAGCAGGAAACCTTGGAAGAACTGTGGAGGGAGAGCACTGCATGAATTAGTAAGTGCTTGTGTCCAGGGGCTCAGGGGAGAAAAGAGGTGTCCTCTGTGTATGGGATGAAGGTTGTTCGGGGTAATCATCTTTTTAAATACCACTCTTTATAATCACCTGAACATGGTCCCTTGTGCTCATTCTAGTTCCATAAACAAAATAGTTTAACTTATTTTCAGAAGGGTTTCTGAGGGTCCCTTTGGAATTATGAAACCCAGAATGAAAAGTGGCCCCAAATTTATTTCTACATCCAGGACCCTCCTGTAGATGCTAAGCCACTGTTTAACTTGTGAGATAAAGTTCCGAGGTGAAGTCCTCTGTTGTGTGTTTAAGGAAAACTGTTGGGTGATTGAGGGAGATGGATGGATTTGCCAGAATCAATAACACTGGATGGATTTGCCAGAATCAAATAACCTAAAGATTTAAAGGCCTTCAGAATTAATCATTTTAATGATGACCATGGGAGAGGCTTAAAAATAAAAGTCAGTTTATTCTCAACATGCTGGGCTTATTTCGTTTGTTAATAGAAAGCTTATAATATGAGTGCAGGATCACGTTAACAAGGAAGTTATTGGATCTAGATATATTTTCTTATTATTTACTAAAATTGTCAAACCAACCTGATTTTGATAAGCAAATCATCTGTTTACCCTGCTGGAAATTGTATACTTGTTAAGGTCGCACTAGCTGTGATAACAATAGACTTAAAATTGTATACTGAGTCCAATATGACAGAAGTTTGTATCTTTTTCATGTGAAATTCAAAATAGAAATGTGTGATCAAGAAGTCATTTTCTCCAGGAGTGATTAGGGGACCTGAGGTCCTTCTGCTTTGTGGCTGTGACTCTGCCACCTCCTACTCCAGGCTTCTGGGGTCACAAGCACATCTGCCTCATCTCTGGCAAGAGAACCAGCAGCAGGAGGGCAGATGGCTCAGGGGAGGTCTTCATGGGCCTGACCTGGCACTGGTTACAGTCACTTCCGCTCACCTTCCTGTGCCCAGTCATGCGGGACCAGGAAGGAGTGTGGGGGATGAGGTCTGGCTGTGCCCCAGAAGTAGGTTAAACTGCTTGATAATCAGCTGGTGGTTTCTCACAGTCAAAGCCACCAGAATAGTCATTCAGCTTTTCAGAACTTAAAAATTAAATGTTCAATTTGGGTTTTGTTCTTTTTAAGTCTTAGACTCTTCTTCCATGTCATAAAATGCCTGTGTTTGTTCCAGGTTTATGGTCAATGCAAAGCATTATTTTATATGCACAAGACAGCAAGAATCCTCCATACACTTTCTTATAACTGTACTCTTCGCCCAGGTAAAATGTTGCTTTGGTTTTGTTCATTTTAGTAAAAGATGAATAAGAAGCATTTAAGCAGGGCAATGCCCACATGTGCAAGGTTTTCTTTTCTTTGCTATCATCATTCCAAGACCATGTTTCCACTATATCCAATACTGGCACTTCCCACTTCCACAAGTCACCTGCAATAATTGCTCAGCATTGGGTACTGTATGAATCCTAACTCATTGGTAAGTTACAAATGTCATAATTTCTATGTCTGGTGCCCAGGTGCCCTTTCTTGCCTGTTTGCAGATATTCTGACTCTACCGCTCTGCACTCCACCAGGCTGGATGCCCCCCTGTTTTCTGAACACAGCTAACATTTTCCAGCCTGTGCTTCTTACTCATTTGGCTCCCTCTGCTCAGGATGCCTCCCCTGATAGCCTCTGATTTGGAATTCATATCCATTCTGTGAGGACCATTGACACAGATGCTTCTTCCACAATGTTCTCTGTTCAAGAAATGACTGAAATGACTGGTGCTGTCCTTTCTACATCCCTGTAAAACTTTAATTAGGCCACCCTTGGAGCTCACACCATGCACTGCCTTGATTTGGGGGTCTTTAGTCATCTATCATGGAAACCTTGCATCTCTTCTTGCTGCCTGTTACAACCCTCCCTTATTTCTGTCATATGTATGTCGTCCATTATGATGTCTAAAAAACAAATGTCCTAAGATAATGCTAAAAGTCATGATTTTTGAAATATGTAAGAACATGCATTCTGGATCCTGCTTGAATAAGCATCAGTCAGGACCTGGGATATAGGATATGGCCACTTATCAAGCTATTATGTACATAGGATACTCCTTGCCAATTATATTCCACTGCAATTTCTGATTCCCTAAGTCTGGGGTGGGACTTGAGAGTCTGTATTTCTAACAAGCTCCAGGTGATAACTGTGTTGCATTTTTCTTGAGGGACAATGCAACAGAGCAAATATATTACTTACCATCAGTTAAGGTTCCTGAGTATAAAGATGGGACTTGCCTAATATAAATTAAATAACAACCATTAATCAGAATCAGGACTTAAATAATTTAGTCAGAATTGACCCCAGAATGGTGCCACGAGTGATAAGCTGGACATAACTACCCCTTAATCTAAATCACCCCAAACTCCAGCACAATAAATATGCAAATAACTAATACAATTGTCTAATAACAGTTGTCTGACAATATATATACTCTAGAAAATGAACTTCAGTCAAGTCTCTGATCAATTTTCTCACTAGATTTGCCACCCCCTTCTGCTTCCAGTCAGAAATTCTGACTGTACCACTAGTGTGATAATTCTGTCCAGTCACAGACTGACCTAATCAATTTTTGTTTTCTGACTCATTTGCATTTTCTAACCAAACACCTTCTGCCCCCACCTTCAGTTGGGTTATTTCTTCTTTCAATCAACAAATATTTGCTAAGAATTATCATGCATTAGATATTACGTTTGATGATAGGGACTTAAAGGTAAAAAAAAAACCATGGTGGTAATGAAATCTCAAACTTTTAAGACACCCAGACTCCCTTACAGAGGCAATGCTTCTGGATGTTATTGAACCCACTGGAAGTGAAGTATTTAAATCAATATAAACATGAGTTTTCAGCAATATCCCATCACATACATAAACCAATGTGTGAGAGGGAAAAAAACTTACTTTGATTTTACTTTAATTATCAAAGTAATACATTCTATTGCACAAAACTCACTGCTGACAGCTTTCTATTCAGAGAGTGCCATTTCCATTCCATCCTTGATGAAACTCTGCATTATCATTTTTCCTTACAATGTCTGTCTCTGTTGTGGTCATACAAAATTGGGATTAAAAATCATAAAGGATCTTTGTGGCTCAAGTATTCTTTTTGTCATCAACAGTTTCTCGAAGAAGCATTCACCAAATCTGCCCCGACTGCCCCAGCCCCATTGATTTATCAGATTCCAAGGTCTTGGAAGCTGCCACTGAGTCTCTTGCAAAATACAACCGCGAGAGTGCCTCAAAGCAGTATTCTCTGGTCAAAGTCACCAGGGCTTCCACCCAGGTGAGACGGAACGCCCCTGGTGGTTACACCAACAGTGAGTCTCCCACGTGTAGCCATGGAGCCAGACCTGAGAGGAGACTGTCAGTGGTGCCCTTTGATAAGCAGCCTCTTGGATTCTTGTCTTGGAATACCTGATGCCCGCACAATCGTGTTTCAGTGTCTGAGCTTCATGGGATTTCCACAAGTGTGTGACTCCTTTATTTCATTGGCCTTAAGGCAAGGAGGGAAATGTGAAACCCAGTCTCTGGTTTCTCTACTTGAGGTCACTGTTTATTGCTACATTTCAGATCTGAGTGACCAAGGGCCATTCAACAAGTCAGCTTCTGGTCATGTTAGGGTTGGGAGTGGATGCTGAGGGAAATGGAGGCAAAATTGTATTTGCATTATGTTGCTATCTATCAAAGTGAGGAAAACTAATCTAAAAATAAATTTACCTGAGGAAAAATGAGGTCACCCAAGTGAAGGCTTTTATTTATTTTTTTTTATTAATAATAAATTTTATTTTTATATTCCCCATACAGTTGCAACCCCCCCTTTCTGATCCCAATCCCTCCCCTCCCGCCCCCCACACCCCCAAAAGTGTCTCTGTTTCATAGTTTTTTGTTGACTCTGATTTTCACTTTCTTATAGTTATTCATTTTCCTGGTCCCTTATTTAAGTTTTCTAGATTCCTGCTATGAGTGAGACCATCCGGTATTTTTCTTTTTCTTTTTGGCTTATTTCACTGAGCATGATCCCCAAGTGAAGGCTTTTAGAGCCTGTTCATTCCTGAGAAGGGGAGGGAGGAGTGGTGGTTGTTTTCTACATATCAGAATCCTATTGCATGCTTTGTTCATGGTGGGGTTACAGGGACACTGGGATACCTGTGCTAACTGCAACTTGGGTGTGTACGTTTCTGTAAATATCATGCTGTCAATCATTTCCCCATATGGAAAGTCTGATTTTTACTGCTCAACTATTGTCTTACAGTGGGTGGTTGGACCTTCATACTTTGTGGAATATTTAATTAAAGAGGCACCTTGTACCAAATCCCAGGCCAGCAGCTGCACGCATCAGTCTCCTGACTCAGAGGTAAGTATCTCTGAATTTCTTCAGAATTTAAGATTTGTGTTCACAGGTGAGAAATATTTAGTAAGCATATTTATTTATTTATTTTTAAATTTATTTTTTTTTAAATAGAGGCATGTTTTATTTATTTATTTGTTTGTTTGTTTGTTTGTTTGTTTTGTTTGTACATGCACTGGGTACAGTCAGAAGCGCGGGAGGGTGAGAGAATTCACCAGAGCCAGAGCGGGGAGCAGAGCAGGCAGAAGGACCGAAGTACACTGCTGAGGGGAGCAGCGGGCGGCAGGAGAGGTCTGCGCGCCATGTGGGACCCTCCTCCGGTGGCCGGGAAGCAGCCGTGGATCGAACTGGCGCCGCAGAGGCTGCGGGCAGCTTCGCAAGCCAGCGCTCAACCGCTGCGCCACCGGGGAGGCCCAGCATATTTATTTTTTATTCTAAATTACACATGAGGTTTTATAATGCATGAGATGCTTTTGTTCACCTCAAGGGACAACTGACTAATAGAGATTGTGCTGGCACACCTACACTGACAAGATTTTATTTCGTTACAAAAAAGTGATGGTTTTGTGAAAATGAGCACTTAAGGTTGTAAAGTATAAATGAATCTCCTCAATGACTGTCCTTAGCTGAACAAATCCAGTTATATTTGGAATCCATCTTGGTGTTCTTTTCCCTGGACTACTCCTTCAGAAGGAGCAAGTCAAAACAAGTTAAAACAAAACAAGCAAGTCTTCATCAACAGAAAGCATCCCAGGTGAGGAGGGATCCTTGAAGCCATGGGAATTCCCACACCTGCCGGGAACATCAGTGGCACCGTGTTTTATAGTACAATTGGGCAAAATGCATCAAAAGTTCTGTTTTGTTCTTAGTCAAGATTATTTGGGGTATCATTGATCATTTGCATCTTCACAATAATCTTGGTTTCAACTTAGCAATTTCATTCTTTATTTTTTTTTATTTAAATAATAAATTTTATTTTTATATTCCCCCATACAACTGCACATGCCCCATTCTGACCCCAATCCCTCCCCTCCCAGCCCCCATCCCCCAAAAAGTGTCTCTGGTTCATAGTTTTTTGTTGATTTTGATTTTCACTTTCTTATAGTTATTCATTTTCCTGATCCCTTATTTAAGTTTTCTAGATTCCTGCTATGAGTGAGACCATCCGGTATTTTTCTTTTTCTTTCTGGCTTATTTCGCTGAGCATGATCCCTTCCAGCGCCATCCATGTTGCTGCAAATTGCATGTGTTTATCTTTTTTGAATGCTGAGTAATATTCCATGGTATATATGTACCACATCTTCTTGATCCAGTCATCTATTTTTGGGCATTTGGGCTGTTTCCAAAGCTTAGCTATTGTAAATAGTGCTGCTATAAACATAGGGGTGCAGGTGTTCTTTGGAATTGATGTTTCTGTGTCCTTTGGGTAAATACCTAGGAGTGGAATTGCTGGATCATATGGAAGCTCTATGTTTAGTAGGTCCAGAAATCTCCACACAGCTCTCCATAGTGGTTGGACCAGTTTGCACTCCCACCAACAGTGCAGGAGAGTTCCTTTTTCTCCACACCCTCGCCAACATTTGTTGTTGCTAGTTTTTTTTAATATGTGCCATTCTCACTGGTGTAAGATGGTATCTCATGGTAGTTTTGATTTGCATTTCCCTGATTACAAGTGATGTTGAACATTTTTTCATATGTCTGTTGGCCATTTGCATTTCCTCTTCAGAGAAGTTTCTTTTTAGCTCTTCTGCCCATTTTTTGACTGGGTTATTTTCTTTGTTGTTGTTGAGTCTCATCAGCTCTTTGCAGATTTTTGTGATCAGTCCTTTATCATTAGTGTTGGGTGCAAAAATGTTCTCCAAAGGCAGTTGGAAATTTCATAGGAGTATAAATTCATTTTTGGTTTCTTTATTGCAGATGTGTAGAAATACTATTGCTCTCTCTATATTGACCTTGTATTATTAAACTTGCTGAATTCATTTATTAGCTCAAAGCACTTTCTACTGGATTCCTCAGGTTTTCCTGTACAGGATTATGTCTTCTGCAAATAAACAACTTTACTTCTTTCGTAACCTCTCAATCGACTATTTTCAATTTGCTTAAGGACTAATTGGGAAAACATCTTCACCATATTCTGGGGAATCTCTCTTTCCTGTCAATGACATCTAGGGATTTCTGATCATTTTCAGTGAGACTGATTTCACTTAGGTAACTAAGGTTGACTTTCAGGTATTTTATGAAAGAATCTGTTCAGTCAGTTCTGAATCAAAATCCTATCTCATGCACAATTCAAAGATTTTCTCTCTGTACTTCAAACCTGATATGGAGCTTAAGGACTTTTGAGGGAAAGGCATCAAGGATGATTCTTTCACTTTTGCATCTTTTGCTTACACTTGCTCTTCCAATTACCAAGAATATTGGAGAAAAGAGTACAAAAGTATTTTACAGAATTAAACCTGCTGTTGTAGAAATAAGGTCAGGTAGGAGTTGTGTGACATATATTTCTACTCATTTCAAAGAATTTACTAATAATCAGACTTGTTACCTAGGAAATCCTGAGGTTTCCATCACTGGAGGAAACTTTGCCTAATATCCAGGTGATTTGGTAGGATGATCTAGAGGAGACTGGCAAATAGCTTGCCTGTTACACAGAGGGAGCATAAAATATTGGTTGTCATGTATCTATATAAGCAGGAAGCAAATTGATTAGCTTTATGGTTGTTATAATTATATTCATGCCACATCATATTTTTTTCTCTTTATGTTTTCAGCCTGTTGGCCTTTGCCAAGGGTCGCGGATCCAAGCTCCAGGAGAAACCTTTGTCTCCGTGACTTGTAAATTCTTTGAATCACAGGTATTTAAAAATTTGACTGTTTGTCTTCCTGTAGATTCATGAACCTGCAGATTTATCTTTATTTTAACTTCCGCTAACTCAGTTCTCCTAATAATGTCCTAAAGTCTAGGATCACCACTTCACTCACGATGCCCTAATGCTACACCCACAGGGTCGCTGGTGAAAGACATGTAAGGTTGTGTTTCAGAAACACTGTTGTCCTGCAGAATAAGCTAAGCTCCTTCAGAGCTAGGAACCTACTAGTTCGGGTTACTCAGGCCTCTGACATTAAATTCAGTGTCCTAAACACCATATGCAGAATCACTGGGGTAGTTGTTTCCAGGAAATAGTCTCTTCCCAGAAGTATGTGTTTATCACTTACTGTGAGGCAGCCTAGTACAGTAGAGGAGGTGGTGGAGATCAGCCTCCTAGGTTTGATTCCTGTCTGCCAGCTACAAGATGTGTGACCAGGGTTGCAGACTGCCTCTTTGAACCTTGGTTGTTTCACCAACCAGAGATTGCAACCGTTTCCTCATCCAGATCACTGTAAAACCTATCATTAGGACCTGAATTGAGGGCCTGGAAGAAAAGCCATCAAGAGGTGACTACTGCTGTCTCTTCTGGGAGTAGGGGAACACCTCACTGGGGATAGAACAAGTCATTGGACCTCACTGGCCCATTGTCAGATCTGAGTTTGCACAACTTATCATCAAGCTTCTATATGTTTAGTTTCTCTGTTCCTTCTCAGACTTACTTTTTAACACTTTAAAGATAGACCCATTCCTACAGCTGGTCTCCCTTTGAAACTTTCCATAGGAAGGCATAGAACAGCTTGTATGGTAACAAGTATGGCAGAGATTTCAAGGTGGGGGGGGGGTGGACATTCTCTTGAAATTGTTCTTATTTCAGGCTCCTGATCCTGGCAGTGAAAACTCTGCTGTTAACCAAGGCCCTGCACACCTGCCCAAGGTGGAAGAGTCCCAGCAGAAACAGGCAGCTCCCACTGATGCACCAGCCACAGCTGTGCCAAAAGGAACTGTCCAATACCTTCCTGACATAGATGATGAGAAGCCCCGATCAGTTGCTAGTTTATTAATTGAGCCAATGGAAAGTGTTCCTGTGGGGGCCATCCCTGTGCATCTGGATCTAACCAGGAATCCCCAGGGAGATACCCTGGATATCTCCTTCCTCTTCATGGGGCCTGAGAGGAAGACAGTGCTGGTGCTACCTTTCCCCTCCAAAGAACAACGCTCTGCTGAGTGCCCAGGACCAGCCCAACAGGAAAACCCTCGTGTTCTTCCTCCATGAGAATCACATCGAGGACCCTGTGGTCATCTGGTGGCTGAAGGAGATGAGAGGTGGTGGGAAAAGGGGAAAGAAACAATTGAAATGTAGAGAGTTGCTAATAAATACCTCTGACTCCTCTTGGTCTCAACGTGTTGACTGGAAGTGGAAATAATGAAGTCAATTGTCCACTTGTGCACTGGGCTGCCGACCTCCTAAACCTCCAAGGCCTTGGGCTGTGGCTAGATGTCTGTCTTGTCTTTCTCTCACTGATATTTTCACCCTTTCATCTATGGATATGCTTGACTCTTTCTCTCACTGATATTTTCACCCTTTCACCTATGGATATGCTTGACTCTTTCTATGACAGCAAATCATCAATAACCCTAATACCATTAATTTCCCTAATACCACCTCGTACAAGGATCAGAGACACAGCAGAGGGCTAAATTCTGTGCATCCCTTTTAGTTCCAAGTTCATTAACTGAGCATTCCCTGTACCATTTCCAGCCTCTGCCACTTTTCCTTTGCCTGGAAATCTGTGGCTCTCAAAGTCACATAAAGAAAAGTATATCTGGGCTGTGTTAAGCACCTAGGAACACAATTTTTATTATCTTTACAATTTCTCTGAGGACAGTATTAAAGGGTCCATCATGACATTCATAGTCTTTCCCCATAGTTACAAACCTGTATGAAAAATTTTACATCAGGTTGCCCCATGTGCAAGCACATGCACATGCATGCATGCACACACACAAACCCCTATATAAAAAATATTGATATTTTGATGAAGAATTTACAAGTGTAATCATTGTCTTCCATCCTGGCAGCTGTTACCTAAAAGATGCTCATGGGCTGTGGCATCATTAGCTTGAGAACAGTAGGCAATAGTCACGTGTTATTACTCTTACTTGCTTCATATAGATGGAGAAATGATTTTGTGGGGGTGTCATGTGGTGTCACAGACCCCCTTTAAGAGCCTGGCAGAGTCACAATTGCATTCCTGTGGCTCAACTAAAGACGCTTCAGTGAAGGAACCTCAGAGAAGGCTGTGGGCCAAGTGAAGGGACTGGCCGGGGTTGCTGCTGAAAAGCAGCAGCAGGAGACGTCAACCAGTCCAGGCCTCCCAAGGCAGAAGGAGGCATGGCCTCACCCAAGCCAGGGAGCTGGCCTGTGGACAGGGACCCCCCTGTGTAGGGATGCAGCCACTGCCAGATCCTGGTTGAAGCAGAAGCAGGTAATAAATACCCTGATCTATCTCTCCTTCCCTCTGATCTCCTTGGCCATTGGCTCTTTGACCCAGCAGTATACTTGCCAGCAGGGGAGTCATCCTCCTAAGACAGCGAGAAGAGGAAGAAAGGAGCAGAGCAGGTGCAAAAAGGAAAGCTACTTCCAGCCCATGAGGATTTTCCCACAGGTGCTGCTTAACACATTTACTGAAGAAAGAATGCAGAAGGCACCTTGACGTTGCATCCCTTGTTCACTGACAGTAGTGCCAGCAACAGAGACAGGGGATGCAGGAAGAGAAGTGGGTTTGACTGTGGAGTTGCTGAGTTAACTTTATTACATTTAAAGGAAGCACATCATGTCATTCACTTTCACTCATCAGCAATACTAACTCTTGCTCTTAGTCAAACTTCCCATGTACTTTTCCCCATGTCCTTCCCTGACCCTTTTGCAATGTCCCCTAAAGCCCTTAGCTTTCTCTTTGGCTCTTTCTCCTACATGCTGTTTCTCTTGCAGTTGAGTCTGTTCTTCCTTTCTTACTCAGCAAACTCCATCAGGTGCTAATTCTACAGTCTTGCCTATTGTGTCAAACTGCTGCAGTCATGAAGCATTTGAGGTCCCTGTGTTCAAATAATCAATAATTTGCAAATTGCTGGCATTCGTGTAATGCTAATGCTGAAACTTAAATAACTTAAGTTATTTAAAACTTAAATAACTTAAAACAACCATGAGATAGCATTATGCACCTTTCAGAATGTGTCAAATCCAGAACAGTGACAATACCCAATGCTGGTGAAAATATGGACCAACAGGAAAGTTTCCTTCATTGCTGTTGGGAATACAAAATGGTACAGTCACATTGGAAAACAGTTTGCCATTGTAACAATATACCTTTCACGGCCTCTTCCATAGGAAGCCCAACAAAAGTTGCAAAATCATAGGTGATGATGGATGTGTATGTTTGAGAGACCAGAGCAAAGACTCTTCTTGTTGCATCTCTAAGTGTTTCCACAATTGGCTGAATCATCTCAGATCACTGCTGAGCATTGCTGGTGCCAGAGATCCCAGGGAAATCTCTCCCCAGGTTATGTGGCCTCCTGAACCAAATTCCTCCAAGTTCAGAACTTGCAGATTTTATAGAAGGTGGTATTACTTTCCAAGGATTGTCATCACAGAGCAGATAGATAGCTGGAAGTTGCCCATAAACAAGGTGGGTAGTAATTCCTCCACGAGCTTCTAGCTGCTGGTTCTCCCACTGATCCAGCAGCTTTGTAAAACTAAAGCCACTATGCACCATCACTGTCACTGGCCTTTTCTTGCACCAGGGCAGCAACCGCACCTTCCAGATAGCCAGGCTATTGAACAAGGAAGGAGTGGAAAGAGGAAAACAGTTTGTAGTTCTGTGCACAAAACTTCTTGGAAGTTTAAAGAATTGTCCTAGCAAGTTTCCTAGAATTAGTTTCTTTATCTTGAAAATAAGAATGAGTAGATCTCCCTCTGAGGGCTGGTGAAAGTGGGGTGTTGAAGGTGATGGAAAAGTTTCTATTTTCCTCCCATAGGATGTCCTCATACTTGTTGTGTGTGGTTATATCTTATAGAATCATAGACTGCTATAGATTGAAGTGTTCTAGTTGGCCTGGGCAGGCCAACCCCCTCTTTCTTTAAATGACATAACAACATCCTGAGAGAAGAGATGACAAGCCTGAATCCACATAGCCAAGCAAGGGTTGAACTTAAAACCCCCAAATCAGCTGTTTTGTCAGTGAGTGGGTGGTGTTTGTTGTTCTCCTTCATGGTGAATCTTCTTGGCTCAATACTATTATCCATTAACTACCGGGCAAAGCCAATATACGCCCCCATTTTTTGATCTAGTTCTGCTAATGCAAGAGGCCCTCGCCTCAGGTTGGGTTACGTCAGAGGCCATGGCCTCTGGGTAAAGTCTGCTGTCACCCTTTTCAGTGCCCGCCTGGCCTCAGAGGTGGGTGCTCCCTAATGACACCTCCCTGGGGTTGATCACAGGCATTTAAAGAAATAAAATAGATTTGAGTATATTTATATGCTATGGGTGTAAAGGCATTAAAGAAGAGTCTGTTAAAAATACAGCAGAAAGAAGGAAATATATAGGATAAAATCTCTTAGAGAATTAAAGTGATGCAATAGCTGAGAGAACCAGGTCTGGGTCAATATTCACAGAAGATAATAATAAAGGATCATTATTATGACTGACTGGGGTTGGAACTCACAGACAAGGAAGTAAAACTAGGAGAGCCCAGTGGATTAGACTAATACATGCAGACAGAAGGACTGAAGGGCTCTGAGGCTGAAAATCAGGTTGAACCTGACCAAGGATTAGAGAGAGGTGGATGAAAAGGGCAGAGAAAGGGTGGAGCAAGATTTGCTGTCCATGAAGGAGACCCGTGTTCCATGAGGGTGTGATGGTGGGGACATGAGTGTGCAGAAACAGAGGCGTCATAGAGGAGGGGAGGTGGGGGAGACACTCAGATGGCGGGTGGGTGGCCATCAGCAGGGGAGTTGATGGTGACAGGACAGCAGAGGACAGACTAAAGCTGTGGATGAACGTGGGGGCGTCTCCAGGGATGTCAGAGTAATAGAGACAAGTATGGGAATGGGCAGCCCAATGGCAGAGGAGATGAGCATGTCAGGGACCTTAGTAAAATATCCTCAATGTGGTGCAGAGGGCAGAGTGTCAACCTCTGTTGTGGGCCCTGAGGGTAGCAGAGAACACTGAGCCTCCCTGCTCTCCCTCTGCCCCTGGGGCGGTGAACAGAGCGGTGTCTTAAACCATGTTCATCTGAACAGAGATTTTGTCTGAGTCTTTGTAAAACAAGGCAATGTCCTGTGTAGGCCAAAGAATAAAAGACTGAGTTAAATAGACCAGGCAGTCTGAGACATGCCAACAAATAGCTGCAAAATACAATTAAAAGGCGCTGTGCACAAAATAGTCCAGGAAAAGGTGAGGTCTTTCATAGGAACATAGGGGAGATTTTTTTGAAGAAGAAGGGATTTGAGGTGGGTCTTGGAAGGGCGCTGAGACAGATGGTGTTGGGGAGAGGAGAGGAGCGAGTGCGGACAGGAGAAGCGTGAGGTGGCCCAGGGACAAAGAACACCAAATTTCTCAGACTGATGTAGCAGCTGAAACTGTGTAAAGCCCAGCATGTACAAGAAGTAGGACAGAGCAGGGGAAGGAACAGATTTTGTAAGAATCTGAAGGCCATGTAAGGAATCTTGTGCCATGCATTAGTGGTTTCTAAATTTTTGATCATTCACCCTATTATTTACATTCTTGAATATGCATCTAGCACATGTATGACTATTTACTATGTGTATTTACATCATTAAGATATAAACGAAATTATATCCAGGCTTACTTCCTTTCTTTGTCCTAAAGGTAAAAAAAAAAAAAAAAAAAAAAAAAAAAAAAAATTGCTTGAGAGGCTAAGTGATAAGCCACAAACCAGGAAAAAATGTTTACAAAAAGCACGTGTGGTAAAGGTCTGCATAGAAAATAACAAACCCTCAAAAATCAGGAATAAGGAAATGAGCAACTCCATTAAAAAGAGGTAAAAAATAACCTGAGATCACCAAAGAAGAGAGACAGATGGCAAATCAGCACATCGAAAATCTCTCTACATCGTGTCATCAGGAAACTAAAACTTAAAGCAGCACTGACCTGGCACCACACTCCGTTAGAAAGGCCAGAATCCTCTTCAGAGAAGTTTCTTTTTAAGCTCTTCTGCCCATTTTTTGACTGGATTATTGCTGCACCTCCCCCTGCAGTGACCCTTAGGGCTAATGGCTTTAGTCACGGTCCCTAGGTCCGGCTGGGCAAGGAACCAGCACGCAGGGGGAGAACAGCAAAACTCCCTGAAGCAGGGGGAGAACAGCAAACCCCCCAAAGACATAGATAAGA